ATAATATTTAAATAGTTATTAAAAAAATTATATTAAAAAAACCAATTCCAAAAATTTATGACTCACACTGTATGTCATGTGATCATGAATTTTCGATTGGCTTAAGACGTGTTTAAGAAAAGACCTCTTACATTGCTTCACGCTTAACTTTAAAAAATGACAGATTTACATCTCTTATACAAAGCCATCAGAGACCATTTTGATGATACACGGCTGAAGAATGGTCGTATGTTAATTTTTTAGATTCATTTAAACCCGTAATCATGTCAAAATTAGATGTCTCAAGACGTGAAGATCAAGGTATATGGAAAAAGATATTCATAACACGCTTAGACAAGATTACGGAAGATGACGCGTATAGTGAAGAACAAAAAAAGCTAGCGCTTCGTTTAAAAGATAAGGTACTTCAACAATTAGTCAAACCTTGATATAGCGATATTTTTATATATACAGTCAAACCTTGATATACCGATAATTTTCTATTGTTCTATACTATGTTACTGTAATATCAGTATATGTTTTTATGTACTGATAATTTTTTCTTGCACGAGCAGTATCGGTATATCGAGGTTTGACTGTATTCCTTTTTTTAAAACAGTCAAGCAGTTCTACACAGCCAACAGACGGTTTCGTTCCCTCTCGAGGCATGACGGTTTCGTTCCCTCCGTGTAGTTACTGTTGGTGTTATTACTAGCCAAGGACGGTTTCGTTCCCTCCGCGGTGATGACGGTTTCGTTCCCTCGTATGATACCCGACTGTTTCTGAATTTTGAAACATTATAGAGTAGTTCGAGTTTAGCATAGGACAGATAATCTCATCACATTTTTTAGAACCTGTTGTCTGCAGATACTTTCTGGGACAATATTGAAAAAGAGAAAGAAGATTTACGTAGAAAACGAGAGATAGAGAACAAGACAGTATGTATTATTCCCTGCATATAATTTATGTTACACGCCCTTAATACCATAAACCTGTCAACTCCAGAATTTAGTACGCGACAATACAAAAATAGAGGCCCTAGAACTATTAGATACTGCTTGTACAGAAAGAATGGAAGTAATTTTGAACTCAATGAAGCGGAAACCTGAAAAAATAGTAAAAGTAGGAAAACGTCGCAAATTTCCCAGGTAAGAATGCGTATGACAAACATTTATATCCCGTCCATTTAGCTCATTTTTACTTTATATTAGTGGAAATGAATCTAATGACGATGATGTAGAAGAGAGTGATTCAGAAGTAATTGATATCGATGAAAAAGAAGAAATTGGAAATCTTACGGAGGTATTTTAGTACTTACTATGTTATGCATAATAGCTATCTTTACTCATGCTTAATCCCTTAGGACGAGATTGATATTCGAAATAAGTTACTCAGAGTATTAACTAAATGCCAGGACAATGAAAAAAAATCGGGAAAAAATTACATGAAATCCATATATCTTAATAATATCATATGCCTGTCTGATATGAGGATACGCAGAAAAATAGAAAAGTTATTGAATGAAGATCAGCTTGCATGGTTTAACAATGTCCTCAAAAAACAAACTTTAAGAAGCCAAACTGACGAGTTTAAGAAATACTTGAATCAATTCAATGAAGATGCATGTAACAGAACACAAATTCCGACTTTGGTCCGCAATTCTTTCATTTCGGGAAGATTTGATTCATACTACTATGAAGACTACGACATTGCTCATCAGTTACTTGAACACTGGTAATTTCATATACATGTTCATATTTGTTTAGCCGATTCTCATTAATTTTTTTCTGTAAGTAGTGCTACACGATTAGATGCCCATATTAGCTACGAATCAAAAAGTTTTAATTTAGAAAGAACATTCGCAATAGACACCGTAATCTATATTATAAATCGATTATTCAAGATGCATCAGGACGTACTAGATAGCGGATGGTAAGGATTTATTATAAATTTTAAGTGACTAATTTATTGACTAATTCTTTTTTTCTACTTAGGATCGAATTGACTACTCCTGACACTAAAAATCACAAATTTGATGGGATACTTAAAGTCATAAGAACAAAGCTGGAAAATCAAGTTATTGTTATTTATTAATTTATTAATAAATTTATTGCAAAATTTTGTTTTAAAGTTAAAAAAAAATATTTTAAAAATTTCATTATAAAATTTATATATAAAATTATATATATTTTATAGATGAAAAAAATTTTTTTTTATTATAACAAATATTTTTAAAAAAATAATTAAAAATTAAAAAAATTTTTTTTAATATATGAAAATTTTATAAATTATATTTTTAAAATTTTTAAAATTTTTTTAAATTTATAAAAATCTAGTTTTAATATAAATTCTTCAAAATTTCTTATTTTTAAATCAAATTTTAAAAATTTTTTAATTAATAAAATTACAATTTTATAAATTCATATATTTTTATTTAATAATTTTATATATTAAGTTTATTTTAAATTATTTTTATTATTTAGTTTTTATAATTTTTTTAAAATCAATTTTTTATAAAATCTTTTTAATTTTAAATTAAAATTTTATAAAATTATAATATCAAAATTAAAA